TGATTTTTTTAATTAGGCAGTCAATAAACAGATCAATGTATATAACCAAATTTGGCCTTTAGCTGAGCCGATTGAATTTAAATTTTACTATAGTTTAGGTATAGTAACTTCAAATTTTTAGTCACAATCGCAAATATCTAGTCCAGATAAAGTACAAATTAATCAAAATTGACATTTTTCCTAGTTTCACTGGAGAAGTGGATATTCTCAGTGTTTTGGAGGAAGGGGGCAGTTACAGGATTGGGTATAGAATATTTAAACATCGTAATAGGTATATATCAAAGAAACAATGTTTTTGGTGGACTATATATCCCGCAATCGATGTTTGCCAAGTGTAAATTTCCTAGCAACGAGAAAGGCATTTGCAGGGTTGGTTATAGATGATTTAAACGTAATCTATCAAAGAAATAAAAATATTTGGCGTACCACAAAAGTTACAACCCCCGTAATTGAGAATTGCTGTACGATAAAAGGGAAAGCGAAAGAGAGGAAATGTAGGTACATACTACACAGACTAGTGGAAAAGAATTGAAAGAAGGCGGAAAGGTGTTTGCTTTTTTCATCAACTTAAAGGCACAGTGAAAAGGGAACAAGTTAAAAAGTAATCGTAAACGATTTACAAAAAGCGCATTTCCACTTGCATTCGTTTCCCATTTGTAAGATGCAACTTCTGTTAAAATCGTAAAAATCCGGCCACAAATATGAAAGATAGCGTTGCACATGTGCAATCCATTTTTGACGTGCTACTTCAATTTCATTTTATAAAAAGAATTTCATTTCAATACTTTTCTAAATAAGAAAGTTGGCACTACGCATGCGCAAAACCAAATAGATTTTCCTTTGTTCCAAGCGTCTATGTATCAAATTTCATTTAATTGCTTCCATACATAAAAAAGTTGGCACTGCGCATGCGCAAAAACAAATGTTGAAACTGGGGTTAGATTTTCCTTTATTCCGAGCGCCTATGTATCAAATTTCGTTTAAATTCTTCCATAGATTAAAAAAGTTGGCACTGCGCATGCGCAGAATAAAATTTTGAAACTGGCGTTTGATTTTCCTTTATTCCAAGTGCCTATGTATCAAATTTAGTTTAAATGCTTCCATAAACGAAATATTGCGGCAATTGCTCAAATAAGGAATCTAGGAAAAAAGGAGGAAGTCGCTATGAGACGGATGTGTGAAATAGGGCAGAGGAGTTTCAAAAATGATTTTAGAACAAGAAAATACTTTTTTGAAGTAATGGTGAGAAGGATGTACGGAACACATATACCTATGGAGGTGAAATGAACTAGAAGGAATACAAAGAAAGTATTACAAATGGGTATTGGGTCTAAAGCTAAACGGATTGAGACCTATTGCAAACATTACAAACAACAGGAATTTAGGAAGAACAAAGAAAAAATATTGTAAAAGAAACACATAGTAAAAATCGTGAAAAACGTACCACTTTCCATACGATTCTTTGACAAAAAAGTTCCCTAATTTGATCAAAATTATAATTTATGTAAAATACCTATTTATATTTATACTTACACATGACACATTGTTACGTACGTTCTGTTATTATACAAGTATATACTGAATGCATTTATGACAAATAATAAATAATATGATGATGATGATCACTATGCAAAAAAATATTTGATGTACTACAAAAATGCAACCCCCGCAGTTGAGAAATATTGTTCGTGTAAGAGAAAGTTCCCTAAAAAATTACGTAATTTGAAGACAGCATCGGATTTTACTTTTTAGAAGGTAATTGAAAGCTCCCTTGTAGATCTTTATTAATCATAATCGGTCAAGGACTCAAAAATATTTTATATCTTACAAATCCCCACAAAAAAGGGTTCCTGTACATGTGAGAGAAATTTTAAAAAAATTATGTAATTTGAAATCAGGATTGATTTACTTTTAAAATTTTCAAAAAGGAATCTAAATTTGGAAAGTTGGTACCTACTTCCGATATAACTGAAAGGGTTAGAAAACTGCCACTATTTAAAACAAGTTAAAAAGTAATCGTAAACGATTTACATAAAGCGCATTTCCACTTGCATTCATTTCCCATTTGTAAAATGCAACTTCTGTTAAAATCGTAAAAATCCGGCCACAAATACGAAAGATAGCGTTGCACATGGGCAATCCATTGTTGACGTGCTACTTCAATTTCAGTTTATGAGAAGAATTTCATAGCTTTTCTAAATAAGAAAGTTGGAACTGCGCATGCGCAAACCTAAATTTTAAAACTAATGTTAGATTTTCCTTTGTTCCAAGCGCCTATGTATCAAATTTCACTTAAATGTTCCATAGATAAAAAAGTTGGCACTGCGCATGCGCAAAATAAAATTTTGAAACTGGCGCTAGATTTTCCTTTATTCCAAGTGCCTATGTATCAAATTTCATTTAAATTCTTCCATAAATAAAAAAGTTGGCACTGCGCATGCGCAAAACCAAATTTTGAAATTGGCGTTTGATTTTCCTTTATCCCAAGTGCCTATGTATCAAATTTCGTTTAAATTCTTCCATAAATAAAAAAAAGTTGGCACTGCGCATGCGCAAAACCAAATTTTGAAATTGGCGTTTGATTTTCCTTTATTCCAAGTGCCTATGTATCAAATTTCATTCAAATACTTTTATAAGTAAAAAAGTTTGCAATTCGGTTTATAAATGGTCGAGATGCGAAAAGGGCACTGTGAATTTTGAATCGATTCGATTCAACTTTTGGCATTGCGTATTATATGGCTAAAGCTATGCCCATATTGAATTTCATGCAATTCAGTTCATAACTAACGGAGATGTAAAAGCGATCGAACATTTCTAAACGAAGTTATCGTTCACACGGACAGCTAGATGGACAGACAGACAAAGGAACAGACGGAGAGACCAACCGGCAGGCGACAGATAGCAATGCAAAATTATAAACGATCTCTAGGATCGTTAATAATCGGCAAAAGTGTAAAATTATGGAACATGTAAAAAACGGTTTTTTGTTTTTTTTACAATAACTTTTTTTGTAAGCGGTACAGGAAAAATTCCTTCCTTGGTACAAGACTCGACACCATAACGAACCAAATAGCGAAAAAAGTAGAACAATAGCTCTTAAGATAAAGAACTAGTAGCGTCGCAAAACGAACGGACGGACGGACGGACAAAGTGGCCACAATAGCGCATTTTTTTTTATTTTTGTGGAAATGCGCTAAAAAGTATATGGTCGAGAACCTTTGTGTGTAAATTTGTATAAGTGTATCTGTTCTACCTACTTATATTATAAGGCTAATTGTCCCCTTAAAAGAAATACCATGTATGTATAATTTACCGAAATGGGAAAAGGATATGTTTTATACATTTTTTCGAAAGCTTTTAAGACGTTCATAGAGTTTTTAATTAGAAGGATCGATAAAAATGTGATAGGTAATCGAGGTGATAATTGCCATCTGTAAGATCTGCAAGGATTGGAATTATGCAAACTTTTGAAATACCGGTAACTTTTGTAGGAAAATCAATCTGTAAAACGATTTAAACAACACAACAATTCAACAAATAATTACTCTTTTTTGCAGCGATTTTTCATTGCAAATATTGTCTTCTCAGGTGGTACTCGATATAAATTGACGTTAAGCGCATAACACTAAAATCGGTAAGTATAATTTAATGCAATAACCCACCTATCCGCCTTCGGAAATCTTTGCAAGTGATATGAACGTGTAAGTTCAAACGGCTTATACTTATTACATATTGTGAGTGGTACCTCAATAAATTCAATAAATCTCTAATTGGTGCCTATCACATTTTTTCATTACATTTTAGCCATTATTAAATTTGTTATGTATTTAACGCACATATTTTTCCTGGCTACGCATAATTTTGCACATAGAGAGTAACCGTTTAAGTGGTTTTTGTTGTAAAATTTGTTTTGATATTAAAATAAAGAGGTTCTACTAACATCGCGGTTATTAGTTATTCTACCGACATAACTGCAATAATTGCGGCAAAAATTATTGTTATTATGAATCATTTTTGAAACGCTCTGACCGTTTCTTACGGAACGTGCATCGAGTACCTACTCATAACGTAAACACAATACCGTAATAATATTCCTGATGAAAAACCCATTGCAGTGTAATAATAATAATTGAAAGCACTAGTTTGTTTTACAGAAAGAAATGGTGGTCAACAGTTATACCTCATTTGTGATATAAGTATAACTATAGTTCACACCTGGAACTTAGAATGTGTGGCAGTGTAAGCACGCAAAGCGTATACACCTGGCTCTTCCATCAATCTATCATTCTACAATATGCGTTGTGAAAATTATTTAAAATGTGACCGTGACCTGTAAGGAACAGTCTCGCTACTCCGAATCATACCAAGAATTGTGTCACAGTTACAAGCAAATGGGGATGTCCTCGGGGATGTCTATAAACAAACACAAAATATACGTTAAAACTCGGCATAGGTACGAAAAGTACCATAGACGACTTTTGTTGATCTAAAAATGTTAATCTTATCGTCGTAATATTCAATTGTTAAAAAGCTTATGTATGCAAAAGATAATCTGCGTCGATTTAAATTGGAAAGGGATATAAGCTAACATAAGGACCGATTATGGGCGATTATCCAGTATACGTTTCCCAAAATGTTTTCAATCATCTTTCAACACAAATAAAAGAGTAGCATATTACAAGAACTCAACTGTGAACAACTAGTTTTGAAAGTGATACTTCGCCCTCATTAATCAAACTGCAAATTCATGAAAAAAACACACTTTCAAAATGTGTTGTACACGAAATTTTTTTGTATAGTGATCCTTAATAAGTAACCCATAATTGAATTGACAATCGCGATTTACTGTCACTTAATACTTGATGCTATTTGTTCATAGATACGACTAAACGCCATTGAAAAGCTTTAACTAAAGAAGTTGTTCTGCCGTTAAAAGCGGAATTACATGCTATCAAAGAGCAAAATAAGTTCATTCTATCAGCTCTTGAATCACTATGTAGCAAGAACATCAGTCAAGATACCGGTAACAACGTCAGAAGTTACTCTAATGTCACTAAAAGTAAATCGAAAGTGAAGGACACCATCTCGAATAAGGAACAAGTGCGAAATGATAGTTTGAAAAATACTACGGAAATTCCGTCAAATCTGTCAAAGGTTAACGATAAAGTTCAAATCGAGTCATTGAATAAAATTATTCATATAAATAATGATATCGCGTCAGACAATCCTTCCCCCGGTGAAGATGGTCAAGAATGGCAAACTCAAAAACAGAGACGGCGTCGTGCAACTCCTTTAACTACTGGTTCTTCTGCCAGTGGAGATTCTCTAAAAGGTGTTGTCAAACGGTTAAATTATCATGTTGCAAGATTACACCCGGATACCAACATAGATACCCTTAAAAATCACTTAATCACTAAGCAGATACCTGATGTTATAATTGAGCAATTAAAATCTAAACATCCGGATCTATATTCTTCTTTTAAGGTGTCAATTCCACCCGAGCTACAGGAGAAACTTTTGTCACCAACTACTTGGCCTATGGGCGTTTGTGTGAATCGTTTTTTTTGGAGTGCACAAAAAGTCAAGTTAAAAGAATAAAATTGCTTCACTTAAATATTCAGTGTTTGCGCAACAAGTTTAATTTGTTGGAAGCGTTTCTGCAAGATACTGACATTCAAATAGTTGGCATCAGTGAACATTGGCTATCAGGACGTGAATTAACAAACGGGTTAAGTCTTGGTGACTGGAAAATGTCGTCTGCATTTAGTAGATCACTTAAAATCCATGGTGGTGTTTTGATTTTAACAAAATCACTTACGTGCGATCCAGTTGTCGAAGTTAATAACATGGCAATAGAAGTGCATTGTGAAGTAACTGCTGTTTTGTGCAGAGACTATAATCTCGTGGTCACAGTAGTCTACAGATCACCTTCTGGTGACTTTAGTAAGTTTTTAGAAAATCTGGAAGGTGTTTTAGTACAGTTAAGTGATTTTAAGGATGTAATTCTTTGTGGTGATTTTAATGTTTATTTTAACACTTGCAATGCTCAGGCAACTAAACTATGCAATCTACTCTCTTCTTTTGGTTACGTGAAGACTATTCAAGGTGCCACAAGAAAACACAACTGCATTGATAATATATTTATCAATTTTTCTATTGACAATTTCATTACTAGTACCATAGACACTAACTTATCTGATCATTTGGGCCAAAGCATCACAGTTTTACCTGAAGCAGTGTCACTTAGTTCGCGATGTCTACAATTTCGGCCTATTACCAGTAAAGGGCGCCTCGCACTGTTTAATATGCTAACCAACTGTACTTTTAATTATTTGAATGATACGAAACTAGACATAAACACGAAATTCGATTTATTTTTTAACAATGTTTATGATGCTTTTAAAATCGCATTTCCTGAAAAAACAGTAAATCTTACAAAAACTAAAAGTAACACTTGTGTTAAATGGTTTACCGGCGAACTTCGAACCATGAGGAATAACTACCAATTGATTCACGAGTTACATCGTAAATATGGTACAATAAACTTATTAGTTGTAAAACGTAGATTGTACTCTGCGTATAAAAAAGCAATCAAGAATGCAAAAATCGCGGCCAATAACGATGCAATTAAAACATCATCTAATCCGATTGGAACAATGTGGAATATTGTAAATTTCCACAGGTATTCACAAAAACGTGTCTGCTCTAGTTTATCTGCTAATGATTTTAATGTGCATTTTGCAAACCACTCTGTAAATATTGTAAAAGATATCCCTTGTAACAATGTAGATCCTATTGCTATTTGTTCGGCTAAGGTTCCTGCAGATCTAAGGTTTAGTTTTAATTTAGTATCTCCTAGTGAAGTAAGAAATCTCATAACTTCTATAAAAAACAGTAATTCAAAAGATATCTTTGGGTTAAGTGCTGATCTTATCAAGTCTAACGTGAGTTTGTACACCCTACCACTTGTGAAACTTATAAATTACTCCTTTGAGGCAGGGGTGTTCCCGGATTTATTAAAAATAGCAGCTGTAGTGCCGATTCATAAAAAAGGAGATGTTAATGACGTTGTTAACTATAGACCAGTATCTATCTTACCTGTATTTTCGAAAATATTTGAAAAGGCTATATTTAAACAAATAGTAACTCATTTCGAAAACAATAATATTTTCTACTATAATCAATTCGGTTTTAGAACTGGAAGAAGCACCACTGATGCGATCTTGACCTTTATGAATAAAACCTTAGAATGTTTTGAAAATTCCGATTACCTCGTAGCCACCTTTCTGGACTTATCTTCCGCTTTTGATTGCGTCTCGCACAAAATTCTTCTTAATAAATTAAAACATGTATATAATTTTGATAAAATAAGTGTGTCGCTCATTAATTCTTACTTGTCTGGTCGATCGCAGTGTGTACGTTTTAATAATGCGCTGTCACACAAATTACCCATTCAAAGAGGGGTTCCTCAAGGAAGTATTCTTGGGCCCCTATTATTTCTAATTTATGTGAATGACTTCCCCGCTTATGTTTCATTATATAATGACTGCATTTTGTATGCAGACGACATCACTCTTTTTAAACAGGGTAAATCTGTTCAGCAATTAAACGGTGAATCCGAGTATTTAGTGGATCTTGCAAATAAGTGGTGCATTGCAAATGAATTAAAAATCAATATTTCAAAAACACAACACTTAATTCTCTCCCTGAGAACACATAATCTTTTAACACCACGCTATGTCAAGTTCCTGGGACTCTGTATTGACAGCAAATTGAGTTTTAGTATGCATGTTGAACATGTTCAAGCAAAATTTAGCTGTAACTTATTTGTCTTACGTCGATTGGCAGATAATGTCTCAGCAAATGTCTTAAGACGCGCTTACTTCGCTTTGTGCCATTCTTTATTGACCTATGGTATTATAGTATGGGGAAGTTCTTCTTCCAGTGGAGATCTTTTTAGACTTCAGCGCAAGGCACTAAGAGTAATTTCAAGTCTGGGCTATAGAGATGATTGCAGACAGGCATTTATAGATTTAAAGATCCTTACATTGCCCTGTCTGTTTATTTTTACCTGCTTGTGTTATGCTAAGGCAAATCTCGCTAAGTATAGGCAACAACATCAGATTCATGCTCACGATACACGTAGCAAGGAGGATTATCGTTTACCCCTTTTAAGATTAAGTATATCGAAAAAAGGTGCAGAATATATTGCAATAAAATTTTATAATCATCTACCCGATACTATTAAGTTGCTTAATGAAAAGGTTTTTAGCAACAACATTAAACAATTTTTGTTGTCAAAGGCGTTCTATTCCCAAAATGAATATTTTAATTTTAAATTCGCCGAAAAAATTTAAATTTATGTATTAGTTTAGATCTCGGTTTAGATTTTTGTGTAATTATTTTTTATTTTGACGATTGTATGTAACTTTTTTCGGTTACTTAAACATAATAAAAGTTATTATTATTATTATTATTATTATAGTGTAAATCGTGAAAAAAGTACCACTTTCTTACGATTTTTCGTTAAAAAAAGTCCGGTAATTTGATCACTATGCAAAAAAAGTATTTAGACCCAGTAATAATGAAAATCTGATAATTTGTATACAAACATAGTTTTTCATTATTATCTATCGAAAGAAAATGTCGTTTCACTTCCGGCTTTACCTGATATGGATAGCAACTTTCTTATTTTAAATAGAACACCCTATTTTCGAAATGAACACAAAAATCTACGTCGTTTGATACCACATTTCTCTATACCTAGCATGAAAGGTTTTCAAGTTATTCAAGATTTTTCAAAATGTTTTACGTTTAACTGCTTTTCTGTAGTGCCCTGTAGGTACCTATAGCTCCGTTGGCTTTCAAAAAGTCTTCCAAAATCAATACTAACGTGATGCTAAATGCAAATGATTTAAATTTTGATCGCCCTTCTATACAAATTAATGGTCAAGTTTAATATATAACTTCGAACCTTAAAAATTTGATTTTTTCAAATGAAACCCGGTTTATTTTTTTGCACTTTCAAATGTGGAAAAAATTTTTACATCGATTAATTCCTATACCTATGTATCTGTTACGGTTTTCGTTTTATTTAAGATTTTCTAAAATTGTGATCGTTATATTATATGCATAATTTTCATGCGTACGTGCAGCTTTTTTGACACTCATCAAGCCACAGGATGGTTAAGAAATGTTCATTGCAACTGAAAAAGCGTAATTAGTTTATTGGCCATGAAACGAGCATCGACGCCCTAAATACCTAAGTAAAGTGAAAACACAATCTCATATCTACACTACAATAATGCGAAATTCCCATTCTTCTTTCATTAGAACAATGAAAAACAATATTACATCATTATTTTCGCCCCTTCTTTATATAATTACTACATAATTCAAGGTTAATATTGAATAAGACTATTTTATCGCAAAGAATCAGATCGATTAACATACAAAGACAATTATTTCCACCAGAAAAGTCCTTTTGACTTTAAAGTAGATTTTTATACTATTTGTGACCTGCTGTGAAATATAATGAATAGTGAAAACCAAAATAGGAGTTTTGAACCCAAAACAAAGATTTCCCATGGCATTGTCATGAAAGTGAAGATGAATATTTTAGGCTCATTTTTTTTAATCGAGAAAAATTAAGCGTAAGAACAATCATTGAGTAAAATTTGATATTTTCTCTTACTTTCCTTTCTATTGCGCAAAGTCAAAGAAATTGTTCCAATTAGCAATTATTTTATACGGTTTGATTTCTAATTTGTAAGGTATTGTTCAATGTCCTACGTGACACTTAAACTCATATCGTCATACTACGTTTCAATACATCACGTAATAACCTACTACTGAATTGTCATTGTAAATAGAGGCGTAAAATTAGCTTGTGTATAACACCTTAATATTCAAGGTTTACTTTAATTGACTTTACACAGCTTATTTGTATGCAATTCGCTATAAACACTAACAATCGACTTTGTAATGAGTGTATCCTCTAGTAATAAAAGTCTAAAAATTTCGACTTGACGTAAACACAATTATTATTTACGCCATGAAATAGGAAACTAGGCACTTAAATTCAATTAATTGATACGTTAACGCAAGACTTATAATTACGACAAACAACAATGCTCAATTTCCTTTTTAAATCTTTGTTAGGGAACAGCTACTAAGTAATACTAATTGGTCACGCTGTCTGATGTACATGTTTACGGTAGGTCAGAACGTAAATTGTAATTAACACGAACCCCGATGGGGTTTCGTCAAGCTACGCCATTTTACAAGTGGAACACCTCAGTTGGCAGTTTAATTTGGGAGACATTTTATTCGTGGATTTCTAATTTCTATTAATATGATTTTTGGATCTTTTGTGTTTAGTTATTTACGAAATTTTATTATAGCTTATTACTAAACTGTCTTAGTAGAAAATTTTAACTTCATATAGGTACCAACAATGCACATTATATTTATATTTGATTTATTGTTAGGTGCAAAAGGTACCTACGGATCAATTTCTGAACGAGAACAAAATTGTCAGTCTAAAAGATGAAATTTTAAAAGTTAAATAAGGAACCTTTCCCCCAAGGTATTCAGTTAGGTGTTGGCATAATTTCTCTTATATACAATGAATGTATAACAATAGCTTCGTAGTGATTTGCATATATTCTCAATGTGGGTAAGCCAAGTAAAGCCATGGCTTATTATTATACCAAGTATTTTGGTCGTGTCAGAATCTTCAGTTAATTGCCCTAAAGGAGGCGGCGATAATATTGCTAGTTTATATTATATTGTCATTGCTGCACACAGAGGCGTATATAATTCGCGTCCCTAGCCTAAGGCTCTAGATGAGATTTTGAAAAATAAACTAAGAAAGCTATTTAGTTACATCATCACCTTATTATGCTGGGTCACATCACAGGGTGAGTCCACTTTATGTAGGCGGCCGATATCTCCGCCCAATTTTTAGACATACCGGATGTTTTATAACAGTGGTGTGTATTGACATGAGCCACTTTTTCACAAAAATCTTCCTGGAAAACCTTTTTAAAATTTTTTGAGAAACTTAGAAAGGTTTTTCGTAATGTTAAACATTTTAAGAATCTTTCAAGCCTTCTTCTATATTTGACTTCTTCTCTGTCACGGAATCTTTCTTAGATATTTACCTAGACAAAATCTTTGTACTTTTCTTCTCATTTTCTTACATAAATTTGCCTAAAAATCATCTCGCAGGTCTTCCTTAAAGTTCACTTATAGTAAATTCTTCGTGGGAAATGTTGGTCCTAGGATTGCTTTCTAAATCTTGTTAAAACTCCGGAAAACCTTCGAAAACAATCTTAGATCTTAGAAGTGTCTTTAATGATCCCTCTTTATGAAACTTCTTAGAAATATTGTTGCGCCTCAGAAACGTTACAAATCTTTTCGTAAACCCGAAATCGATCGCCTTAAAAAACAATAAAAAATATTCGTGGTTCTTTTACACATTCTTTAATCATAAACAATTATTATCAAGCTTTAAAGAAAACCAGAAAATTCCAATTACTTCCAAATATTATATCAGAAAAACCCAAATTTGCCGATTTGGTTTTGATTTTTTATGATGCTATTTGAAGATACATAGTATTGAACAGCATCCTCCAGAGGTGACAACTGTAAGAATACATAAATCTTCTGTAGAAAAATTCATCATATACAGTGTGTAATTCAAACTAGGTCCACTTCTGTTACTTTTGTAGAATTGGCGATATGGATATAAAATTTGTATGAGTGATATTATACGTAAAAAGGGTTGAGTACTCTAAATAGGATTTTCCTATCAGCTCATGTCATCGGAAGTTAGCATGAGTTTCAAAATTTTAATGGGACACTGTATATTTTTCAGGTGTTTGATTCTACAGATAATTTTAGCCTTGATACGTGGCTTTTAGTAATTTATACGGGGTTAGTCAAAACAATAATAATGAATAAATAAATGTTCTCTCTCTGTGCTAGTTCCTGATATTCTGAGCATTCTTCTGTTGCTTTGACCATTTTAGATTTTTCTGTTTTTTATATTCTTGAGCTTCTTTAATATTTTAGATTTTAGGTTTTTCCATAATCTTTCTGTTAAGATTCTTTGAAACTGTTAAGGATCAAGATTTTTTGCAATTCGTAAGTTTCAAATTTGATTCTTCGACGTTTTTCGTTTCTGTGAATTTCGATTAAGTACCTATTCCA